GTTTCTTAGATCCATGTGCTGCAAAGATTCCATAGAGACAAGGCAAGATTGAGCAATGATTGATTAAAGCATTCATGGGGACCAACCATTTATTGCTGGATTTTTATTAAGAGGGTAGGTAAAAGTTATATTGCAGAAGTTAGACCAGCTCTAAGATAGTAGAGATCTGTTAAAGAAGTTGGATTCCATGCACCAAAAAGATTTGTGCTGATAAGCTAATAAAATCTACCATTTACTCTTCTCTGTTCAACCATATAATGCTGGATTTTGATACCATATACCTATGTTTGGGTGTGCATTGTTCTCTCGAAGGTTGCCTAATTGTCTCTTCTGTCCCTGTTGTCCTTAAGTTGGCTGTTAACTATGTCTTTTGTACTGAGTAGGTGCTTTACATTTTGATGGGAATTGTCTATATTCTGTTTTGTTTGTTGTATATGGAATGTGGCCACAATAGGATTGCTTTATTAGAATTTCTCTTGTTCTGAAAGTGTCTATAACTGATATCAAATTGGAGTAATCCGAGAAGTGGATGTTTCATTTTGCATTGTTCTCCGTAGTATCAAGTCATTTTCCTGTCATAAACAACTTAGCCTTAAAGAAATGACAAAGAATCTGTTGGGTTGTGTTCTCTGTTCTGCTGTTCTATACTTCTCTGTATAGAGTGTGAGCACCCACACAAAAAAAAAAAGGGGCAAAGAAAGAGAAAAATCACAAGAGCATATGCTCTCCCACGGGCTTCTTCGAGTGTTGAGACAAAGCATGAAAGGGTTTTACTTCTGTATCTCTGTTTTAGCATCTAGTCTCTCTTTCTATTTTATTTACTTCTCGAGCAAACAGGTTGTGTCATCCATGAAAAAAACTTTGATACAGATGCCCTATTCACATTCCTACAAATTTGACTCTACTATTTTGGAAGAGCATATTTGAAGGAAAGAAACACCCCACTACATAACACTAAATACTTGCAATTGTTTGTTCAGTTTTACACAAGAACTTTAACAGATATACATCAGCCTCATTTAAGTATGATACCAAAAACAAACATATAGCATCCTTTAACCAAACAAAGCTACTATAATCCCTTTAGAACCCTAATAAGAGACGGCCGAATATATATGTAAACACTATTCTGGTTTTGAATTCAGTTTTGTCCTGAATGCTCCGGCTCAACTGTATCGTATTCTAAGTCCTGTTCCTCAAACTTCACTTCCACCAAGAACCTTATGCTCACCTATAGAAAACAGAATATGGAAAAGGTTAATGGACCAATTTAAAATCTTTAAAACCATAAGACAGTTTTGTCTTTAACATTGTTAAAAGATCTTTTTGGATCATGAACTGCATATTTGTCATATTCAAGTGGATTATCTTTGTATACGGCCGAAATCAGCCAACTATGTAGACAAAATTCCCCAAATCGATGAGTTTGTTTAATCCTTCATAGAACCTTTGCTCCCTTTGTCTTCTCTTCGGAGTATTTGGTGTTATCTATCCAACATTAGGTACCAATAAGGTATTTCTTGTGGAACCTTTGCTCAAAGTTGTGATAACTCCTTGATTTCTTCTCCAATTGAAGCAATAGTGAAAACAAAGAAACCTTTCTGGCCTATCTAAAATTGTGAGACCTTATCTAGCAGCTTCCGTTAGACCATCTAAAAAGATTACAAATCTTTCAAACTGAATGCATAAACATTATTGTATACTAAGAAACATAACAATGCTCTGTACTACTGTTAGACTTCTTTCATCCTCATGCAGGTCACAGGCACGCAAGTGTATCAGATGGAGCTTACATAGATCTCATGCACAAGGAAAGAAGCTAAATGTAGCAGCTGAAGTATATGTGTAAAATCATTTGGTTGAAGTTAGTTAGGACTAAGGACTTGTGCCAGATCAGATTAGTTAGTGTAAGTTTGTATAGATGAGTTGAGTGCTTGCAACTATGTTAGTTAGCAGCAATTTTGCCTTTGTATATACATAATGATTGTTGTGCACAAGATATTAAGAGAATGAAGAAAACAATCACTCATTTCTCTTTCAATCCCATGATATTACTCTCTCTTTCTATTTACTGTTCATCACAGTTTTTGTGACAATTTTATGCGGTATCAGACCCTATGGAGTCAGTGCATCCTAGTATAATTGGGATTCATATGTACTGGTCGTCTTCTTGTTCTCTGTCAATTTTTGCTTGCGAATCAATTGTTCTGAGTTTGAATGATTGAATTTGAGTTCTCTAAGTTTAGACTGATCAGATTCATTATTGTATCACATACAACTCATTTCTGTATAATAAAAAATGAGGCATCTCTTTAGCTTCATTATCATCTTTCGATTGCTGTTTGAGATAGAATCTGAGCTTTTCTTCTGATAATCTGAAAATTGTATCGATTTAGTGTTTCATGGAAGTGGTGGAAAATGTTGATTTATCTGCTAAGAACAGAGGATAAGGGTGGGGAACTAAGAAGAATGATTCATTTGGATCAATAAGCTTTTTCAGCCCAAAAATCCATCAATATCTACTTTATTTGTATATTTAGGTATCGTTTTATTTATATTTATGGAATAATATGATCCTCTATAGCCTTAGGCTCATATATATTAGCTATGCTCAATGCTAGAATTTTGTTGGATTAGATCTCTTGGACCTAACGAAAAGGGCTCTAAGCTCACGAAAGCAAGTGTGAAAGAAGCTAAGTATGAAGCTACCGCTTCACTAATCGTCTAAAATACAACTATCACAACTTCCTTTGATTCAAAAGAAAGGCTTTGCTTGCATGAGAAGTCAAGCATGAAGGTACCGCTTTCCCGACTGACTAAAATACATCACTCACAACCTTCTGTAATTTGATTCAAAAGAAAGGTTTGCTTGCATGAGAAGTGAAGCATGAAGGTACCGCTTCTCTGACAGACTAAAATACAACAATCAAAATCCTACTTTGATTCAAAAGAAAAGCGAACAGTTTGGCCACAAGCAAATGATTTGTTCCTATCAGCAATTGAATTTGAGAGGGACTTGTATAAAAGAAAGACACACTTAACATTCTAGTACTTGAACTTCGTATAAAGAAACGTAGGGTGCTGCGTCCTAGTCTCCTAGACTCACAAGTAGAGTAATCTACTTGACTTAATAACCAAAAAAAATTCCCATAAAGCTTCCAAATTTTAGCTAAGTAGTATAACATTGAGTAATTTTAAAAGAAAAGAAAAAAAACTAAAGGGGCAAATTTGGACCTTTTCATAAAGTATTTTTACACATAAAATATCCATTGTGACACGTTTTAGATTGGATTCAGAACTCTCCAATTCACGTTGGACCTCCCATAGGATCAAAAGATCAAACACAAGACTACTTGATGATAAGGAAGTTTTTTTTTTTTTTTTTTTCTGATTAAATCCGGATCATTTTACAATGGAAAAACTCATGTTCATTATTTGGTGGTGGCGCTTCCAATAGAATTCTATCCTCAAACCCGAGACCTCCGATTAATGGTGAAACATTCTCACCACTGCGCACCACAATCAATGAGGAAGTTATCAATGGTTGAAAGTAAAACGAATGATAATTTTAAAACATTTCGAATAGTAAAAAGGTAATTTTCCAATATATTAATTTGTTAAGCAGGTCATTTTTTTTAAAGTTTTTTAAAGCGGAACTAAAAGTTCAAGATAATCCATCACCGTAATCTGGCACACAATTTTCTCGAAGAAAAGTATTGTCAAACGACTCCATCATATGTTTTAAGGAAATGTCACATATAATTCTAGTACCAAGTATACAAAAACCCAATATTATTAATTACTAATATACAGTACAATAAGCTCGAGCCAAGAAATTAATTAAACTAGAGAAATGGGAACCTGGTTCTTTTATATTTCTTCCGACAAAACATAGTGGAGAACCCCTTCTTCTTGACCAATATTTTCAAATTTAGAGAAAAAGAGAACCAAAAATAAATTTAAAAACTTTAATATTTAGCAATTTTGTTTTGTTTCATTTGATCTAGTCAAATCCACCCCATGAGAAATTAACATTTTCCGGTCTTCCCATTCCAATTGAACATATTATTACTTTGATAATTTGGACATGGTATATATAAATATCTCTCAAATTTACGGTTTGTTTTTCCTAATCGATATACATAAACTATACATTAGACAATCAAGTGAAATTAAATCCAATCTGATTTACGGACAACATCGTTATGATAAAGTTCCTAATATCTGATCATACTCACTAGTTATATACATATTATACATATATATTATCTATATACGCCAACTATTTAATTTTTAAAATCCATTGGAGTTGATATGGAGAATGAAAGTCTTGTATGCAAAGACTGTATCATCAACAATTCAGTCGTTAGTTTCTTTTGGGGTAATCATGTTATTGCATAAAGTTGTGGTCCAGCAACTCTAATGATATGATTCAACCCTTAACATAGGGTAAAAATTACACAAAAAAAGAGAGGATATATTTCTTTAGTTGAGACCTCTAAATTGGACTAGGAAAATATATAATCTGTTCAACTTCCCCAACTAAGGTGTGAAAATTCTGAAAAAGATAAAAAGTAAGTACACACTAGCTAGTGGCTGATATATATACAGGTTGGGACTTAATTGGTAGTATCCCAAACTCTATTATGCAGACAAAAAGTTCTGACTTTCACTTTACCTAAGATACTACTCTTTCCCACTTGACAATTTCGTTGATACCACTAGATTATAAGCTTTGATTCGCCTAAGTCATTTTATGTTCATAAATCATCAAATAAATTTATGAAGATTAAAAACGAAAATGTAGTAGTGGTGATAGTGATGATTAGGATATGGAGTTATACATTCGTTTTTATCCTTGGCTCTACTAGTGTAAATCTAGATAATTATTTTTTTGAAGACCTAATTCATTAAATAAAAGTAAAATAAATAACATTATTTATTGAATAAAAGTGGACTCTTTCGAGCACTTTATACTTTTAGACGAGAAAAATCTGTGACACAATTAAACTCAACTCATTACACTATGAAACATTACAAGTTAGCAATGAAGCTGATAAATTTTCTCCAATAAACTTATTAGCTAAGTAGCACAGCCAAGGAGAAAATTCACCTGCTTCATGTACTTTAATGTTTTATAAGGTCATCACCCTTATTGTTACAAAATACACAAAATTAGTAAAAAAAAAAAAGTAATATATAAAACCATATATATCTAAGTAATACTACTTATTCATGATCACCACCATGCTAATGCTCCTCAACAAACCCCTCCCTTCCTGAGGTTTTTTTGTTGCTGAGCAATTGCCAGGGCTGCACCATCCATCAAACACACACACACACAAAAAAAAAAGAGAAAAAAAAAAAAAAGTAACATAACTCTTCAATGTAAACAATTTTTACACAATCAGGTCATTTTAACCTGTCGTAGCAGGTAACATATCTTATTTTAGATTTGAATGACCGGATGGTGTGAAAAGTATTTATACTGATGAGGATGTATAAAACTCAAACGCAGTAAACATATCCAACTTATGTTAACTCCAAGAGTAGTCAAGAATTTCATTTGAATTAGCAAGGGAGAAATTCTTAATTACTCTTGAAGAATAATTTTAATAAATTCCTCAATTAACTTCATCATCATCATCATCACTAGATCCACCAGTACTACTATTAATGCAATACTTATCTTGAAATCCATCAAGTGAAGGGTGAGGAGAATGGCCTTTACCAAATGACCTAATATGATCTTTAAGTGACCTCTTGTGCTTAAAATCAGAACCACAAATGCAATACCATAATTTCCCACAATTCTTCTCATGTGTCCTCCAATCTCCTTTAACTGCAAATGTCTTGCCACATTTCCTACAACTAAATGATTTTGTACCATGTTTCCTCTTGTAGTGAGTTTGAAGGGTCCTAAAATCTTTTAATGGTTTTGCCCTTGGATGGTTGATGTTGTTCTTGCACTCTTGAGCACAACAATAGCATGGTAGCCTTAGCATTGCTGCTGGTTGTGTTCCTCTAAGTGATTCTGGTCCTTTTCTATATTCAGAACCATGCCCCCACATGTGCATCTGCAAAATATCGACTATCAGATCACTTAAAAGATAATTCATAAATAATCGTTCATGAGTAATAAATAACATAGAAAATTAAACAAGTTGTACATATAAGTTGAGCTCATGTTAGAAGAGTAAAACTCATTCTAGCTAATTATTGCGCTTAGTTATCAATTTCATTTTTATATTAAACTTCTATGAACTCAACACGGAAAATAAATTTATCAAATCATCTAAAAGATAATTATATAGATAACTGTTCATAATAAATTAAATGGAAAACTAAGTAACTTGCTATAATGGAATAAAAGCTATAGACATTGATAGACATCATCAACGTATATAAGTTAAATTGTCTCCTTTTCACTTTATAACTTGCTATAATGGAATAAAAGCTATACACGTTGTATAAAAAAGTTCGCTAACGTAACATTGTATATATTTTATTACAAATTAAACTCATTAACTAAAACGAGTTATGAGTTCAGAAGTGCTTTGTAATTACTAAAGATTTGCAACGACGATGAGTATTTTTAAGAATCCACAAGAACACACACACACACACAAAAAAAAAAAAGGCAAGATAAACAGAGATAAATAAAAGGAGAAAGAGATGGGGAAACAGATCCATTTTCATTGATTTTGTGAGATTATGGAAATTAAATCAAATCCATAATATTACGTATAGAAAGAAAACTAAAAATAAAAAAGAGTTATGTAGATAGATAAAATTTGCTTCATTACTTTTCTGCTTTTGAACTTGGAAAAGTGCTACTGTGATAGCTTGATTTTTATTATTATTTGCATTTAAGGTAACATTTAATTGTTTATGGAAACCCCAGCAATCAAATAAGAGCAATCTTAATGGTTTTTGCTTTATTAAAAGAGTAATGATAAAATGCTTCACCTTCAAAAGCTTAGCTATCCAATTCGACACTATTTAACAAATGATAAAACGAGGGGCACTAAGAAATAAGAATGATCATATTTTTGACTAATAGGAGGTGCATGTGCTTGTCTAATACTTATGTTACAAAATTTTGAGTATGATTAATGAGCTGAAATTTCTCAGATCGATAATAATATATCTAATATAATTGATTTGATCGAATGATAGGATGTGTGTATATCTTATCCTTGCCTAATTATGAAAAACACGCTAATTAAAAATATTGGAAATACACTGATGATAAAACTCGACACATGAAGTGAAGATTGAAGAATTAATCTGATCGCTTAGATCAAGCATATACTACAATGCAAAAAATAAAAGGAATGATTTATAAACCTTCTCATGTATGATCATAAGTTTCATTGTTTTTTTGTTAACATAAAGGTGTTCCTGATCCATTAAGTTAATAGTATAAAGAAGATTTAATGTGAATTCAGAATTTAGAGCTAATAAGTTCAAACGAAGACTAATGTTATATTATATATATATATATAATTCCAGTCGAAAACAAAGAGTTGAGTTGAACTAACAGAATCCACCGATCGATATATCCTAAATTCGCCAAGATGAGAAGAGAAATAAAAAAAATTGAGAAGCATGATGAAAAATCCATGACTAACCTGCATGTTGTTGTACCTATTAAAGGTCTTGTTGCATATATTACAAGCAAATTGCATTGGACCAACAAGAATTTGAGCTGGAGTTGGGATCCAAAACCTACTCTCACTGTTGAAATTGCAACCCTTATTAATAATAGTACTATTTTTCTCCTTATTTTCTTCTTCCTTCTTGTAGCTGCTAAAAGGCTTTGTTTCATCAACATCAGGAAGCCCTATATGCAAAGACACTCTAACTTTCTCCATATTTTCTTCCTTCATCACTTGATAATCTTCCTCCTTCTTCTCCGTTTTCGGATCGGTTAATTTGCTTAGAAGAGGCAAACATTGAATTTCTTGTGGATTGTATAGGTGAGGAAGTTTCAAGAAAGTAGTCATGGGATTTGATTGAATGATGGTGGATGAAGATGAAGAAGAAGGAGAAGAATTATTAGATGATGGTTTTAACCATTCAATGAAATTTGGAGTTTGATCAAAGCAAACATCCATATTGTCTTGATGAACATGAAAGTTAATATTTCTTATTCCCATCTTGAGAGAGAAAGAGAGAATTAATATAAAGTCTCTCTTGATCAATTTGAGAGTTCCTCTCTTTGATGGTTAATTATAGTGGTTTTTTTATTTGGACTTTTATGTGGGAAAAGCTCCACTTAAGGTTGATTTATGAAAAGTGGTTTGGTTTGTCTTTTAAGAACTTTTTTTGTTTTGTTTTCCTCTCTTTTCTTCATTCATGAGGTTTTGGTCTCACATAGAAACGGTTGAAATGGGATGAGGAGATGTTGGTTAGTGGTGGGGTTAGATAATGACATACAAATATATATGTGGCTCCCTATTAAAGGAGAATCCTATAATACTTACTACGATTTAGCTTTTATTTATATTGTAAATATTTTTTACATTAGTATATATAATTACACATATAGTTAGTAAACCATCAGATTATTGTTAGCTGTTATGACAGGTAACATTTTAAGGAGATTTTTCTGTAGTGTATATATAATATATATATCCTTAATTAGGGCAATATTCTTTAATAGTAATATCAAACATTCTTTGTATTATTGGACTATTTATATAACTTAAATTCATTTTAACCTGTCATGTTTGATACATTTATCTTATATTCTTAACGTTACTAATCTTGATATCGTGAATGTAATTACATGTAGCTATCTTTTACTGTAAAAGAGTGAAAATTATTCAAACTCTGATAGTGGTATTGTGTAGGATTGATTATCAAGAGTGAAGGGTCAAATTATAATTAAAATATACTTTTTTTTTAATTTCATATCAAAATTATTAGGTGTGCGAGTTTCTACTTGGTGATAGTTTAGGTAGAAAACTTACAAACCCGATAGTTTAGGTATATATAAAATTCAAAAATTCGGGATTTAAGTTTTGCCATAGTGAAATTATTTATCCATGTGGAGTGCCAATATATTTTATTTTTAAAATAGAGAGTATTTCGTGCACCATATGTTTCGATAAACATTTAGTGATAGTTCAAGAAGAAAAGTCGTAAACCTAATAATTCAGGTATAAAACTTAAAAAATTGAGATACTTTAGATGTGTCTTTGATCTGTTATGTCAAAACTAGTTTTTTTTTTTTTTCTAGTCAAGTTTCCTTTTTATTGGTGTACTTGTGTATTTTGGGGGTAGTTATCGGAAGACTTTACTCATATGTAGTAAGTAATTGATCGTGTACACCTTAATGCAACAATTAGAAGGTAGCTTAATTAGTCAATACCTAAAAGGGAAAACTAATTCATAAATTAGATATGTATTAGTGTCATATGCAGATTGCAAGGACTGCTAACAAATATCAAAATATATTCAAAAGAAGCTGCTGAGTGCTGAGTATTAATACCAAAGTCCAATTATTTCAATACTAAAACCCAGAAGAAATAAAAAAACACATGGATGGTAAATTTCTGTGATAAATATTATAGTTATACCTTCCTATAATATATAACCATCATCTATACCAACATTTCATGACTATAACAGTCTAGTTTATTTTGGAATCAAAGTTTTTATTTAATGTTATTTTTATATATTTTCTATAACATCTCACTAAATCAATTAAAAAATTATCTAACAAATAAATAATTTCGTTATACGGAAGTTTGACTGTAATTCATAATCCTGAAATGGTGCTTAATATATATACTATTATAGCTACTACGTTTATGTACGTATTATTGTATATAATTTTTTAATTTTATCTAACCATGATTTATAAGGTGTCTCTCCCTTTCAATTTGAAATGAAAAGAGAACGCGACGAAAGTTGCTTTGTCAAAATCATAATGAAGTTTTTTTAGAGTCACTTTGTGCCTTATTACTTTCATATGACGTCATAACCATGGTTGTCCCCTTTTTCAAAAAAGATGACCATATATATTTTTTTCATCTAGTATCCGATATTCATTGATATCCACTCTTCAGAAGAAGCTTTAATTTTGTGTAACTAGTAAATGTTGTTGTTATGTGACTAATAGGTCACAAACTCAAATGGATGGCTCCAAACAAGATTTTTATAATTGAAGCTTTGAAGTAGTCCATAGTCTCCGGGGTGGCTCAGTTGGTTTGCAGTATGGATGGCCCGAAATCAATTCTCTTCAGTGCCTTTTGAGTCTAGCACTATCGCATAGGACTTGTCTAGTGCAGTTTATATTCTCAAGTGGTTTGTATGTTATTACACAGTGAAGATTTATCTAGTGCTCACCCAAAAAATAGAGGTGATAGCAGCTACGGATTATCCCGGATTCGAAAAAAATAGTCCAAGGAACAGTACAGGTCTGGTCTAATAAAATTAATCGACAAGATATCATGAAACCGGATTTTCAGGAGATCAAAAAGAATTGTCACCTTTTCTCTTTTTCTTTCTTAGTTTCTCATTATTCTCTTAACCTTTTCCTTTTGTAGTATTATTAACACTCTCTGATTCTCTTTTTTATTTCTTTGTTTTTTTCCCCTCAATCTAACCTTGAAATAAAAGCAGTGTGAAAGATTACTTTTAATTGTATTGGCTATTAGTTTAATATCTTTTGTAATTAATATACAGTGCTGTCACGACCATGAAAAGCAATTACTTGGACCTACATAAACTATATCTCTAATATATATATATGTGCTACACATAATTTAACTTGAGAGCTCAATCCAGAAAGAGAAAAGTTGTAGTATTAATTATTAATTACAAAGGAACCTTTATAATTAAAGTACTCTTTTTTTAGGTCATGATGAGTAATTTTGTCTCCTACACGTAATAAATTAATTAAAAAGAGAGATAAAGGACTTTGTGATTCTGATTTTGAATGTAATTTGTCTTAAAAATCAATCTAGTTTCAGTTCGTTAATTGTAATAAAATCTAATAGAACAATATCAAATACCATAGGTTTATATTGGCTTTTGTTTTTGTTACTTTTGTTTGTTTCTTTCAGTTAATCGGGCATTTTTGTTTTTTGCCTACTTTATTCAACTTTGATGAAAAATTTAGGGGTGACAAAATTAATTCAGACACATATTAGATTCGGATATAATTACATGTTTGCACTTAAAAGAGGTTCACCTTTATCAATCGAAAGTTTTTACTTAGAAACTAAAGTCATTTTAGGACATTATAACTAGTGAGATATTATAACACGAAAATATAAATTTATGTTCCATGAAAAAAAATATTTATCATGAGGGGCAAAAATGTAAATGATCCCCTGATTCATCCGAGATTGAATGGGTTGATCTTGGTTATGCCCAAGTTGACCCAACACAAATCAGCAGCCCAGATAAACCATGAATTAGCTTAATCATGAATTCATGATACATGAAAATGTTTAAATCTTAGTCATAGTATTTCACTTTCGATTAAATTTTTTGCCTAAAACTAATTGTTTTTTTTTCATTATAATCAATTGTTATTATAATTGATGTTTTCCCATCAATTCGTTCAATTTTTTGTTTATAAAAACCATGCAACTATAGTGATAAAAACTTTCTTTACACATTTTTTTTATTCACTAAATTCATAATTTGTTGAGTTTAATAACTTGTAAAAATGATATGATGGAATGTATTAGATGAAATAGTTTTTTTTTGTAGCTCGTGACATCAAGTCATCTTGTACTAATTCGATGCTGGAGTTTACCTTTTCTTCTTCTTCTCTCCTTTTTTTATTTTTTTTATTTTTTTTTATTTCCTCTAGAAAAGTTAGAGTATCTCTTTTTAAATATTATGTTATTTAAGCGTCTCTAAACAACACCGTAATTCAGTAATTTTTGCTCAAATAACGTATTTATATTAAGACATTTATCAAAAATATGTACAAATATTAAGTTGAGAATCCTGTTATCAACACTTGAAATCTTCGTTATAAAATTAGAATTTATTTAATTAAAATTCCACTTCGCCTCTGATTACGTTATTTATAAACATGTCTCAAAATAATGCTTGTTGTTCGATGGAAAAGGAGCAGTTTCTTTCACATTTATCACGTTTAAGACCCACACGTAAGAGTGTATGACGAACTAATTAAATTAATTTAATGACAGATTATTAGTGCATTTCCACTAGAGTTTTTTTCTTTATTTTTTGTTAACATTTCCACTAGAGGATTAAAATTACACATATGTATGTTGAGGTTAGGTCTTTTTATCTTTTCTATATGGATGATAAATAAAATACACACTTTGAATCAGTCCATTTTTATATTTGGCTCATACATTAAGTCTTATTTGGAGATTAGTGAGGGACTTTGAGAGAAAGGAGATTTTTAATTCCTGCTGAAAATTATCTTGAGAAGCTAACTTCTTTTGGCGATTTCCATTTTGTTTCTTATCGCAATAAATTCGAACCAAGTGTTCTCACATTTTTGGTTCAAATAAATTTGAAAAATTTAAATTTGAGTATTCTTCTGTTGCTATCTTGTCGTGCACTTTAATAGCTTTGTATTTTTCCAGAAAAATAGTAACGGAGATATAATCAGTGAGATGAGTATGAAGATGGCGAAATGATGATCTAATTGGTCCTAGCTTATAAGTGCATTTGTCCATATACTTGCCGATTTGCTACATTTATCCATAGCTTTAAAGACGCACAAAAAAAAAAAAAAAAACTAGTGGGCTTAGCCGCTTAGGTGGGCTGTAAATATTTGGTTGATGTGGTGGCACACAATTAATTTCCAAATTAATCCATGAATAATGATGAGTCATATAAAACTTAGTTTATTGAAAAGATTGTTGGACGTGTGTAAACAAAGTTCGGAATAATAACTAAAATGAAAATATACAAGAACTATTTTCCGTGTGAGTGCAGATTTTGCATGTCCTGACTCTGTGCAGAGAATGATATATTTCATATTTGCTTCTCTAATTTGTTTTACTTATTGTGTTTCTACATTTAGGAAGTAGTACTATGTTATTTTATCAATGATATAAAATATCTTCAAGTATGCAAAAATGTTTTGCCTTTTACTTATAAGTTAAATCTAAAAATGATTCCGTATGTATTTAAATTTCATTTCAACACTTTGACT